GCTGGTCTGTTGATATGGAACCGAATATCCATCTTGGCCAGAAGAAAGGAAATCAGGACACACCGCCCACGTCATCATTGGCCGGTCTCGCTGACAGACATGTCTTTGCACATTGTGTAGGCACAGGCTTTTGCAGGGCGTGCGTAGTCGTATTGTACATGAATATGCGGTGATTGCACACATGCTTTGTCGAAATTCGTTCAGGCTTGCATCTACGCGTTGCAGGTACATGTCACCGAGAGTTGCATGGTGTTCGTCTTGTTTACTTGTGATAGAATTTGTGTCTAACTGCTAGTCTAGCCGCAAAGTAAACCATAGTCTTCAATAGGGCTCCAGAGTGTGCGGTTTTGCGGGTTTACCATGTTAACCCCAAACCCTAAACCCTTGGGGTTTTGGGTGAGGGCCCCAGGTGATTTTACTTAGGCCCTACAGCTCAAGCTATGGATTTAAGCTAGTCACCTAGTCCTTATGCCATTTTTCAGACGGCGGGGTACTCTAATCCCTAATCCTAATCTAGAACCCGAAACAGACACGGATCAGAAACCCGGATGCGAAGAAGCTCCTGTATGTCCGTGTGTCGAGATAGCTACATTATTCCCCTACTTAGGGGCTGGGTAGGTAACCTTTAACCTTTTGGGGCTTATATAATCCTAGTATAATTCAAACGGTTAACCTTTTTGGGGCTAGGGTACTCAGCCCCTAAGCCTAAGTTACAGGGCACCCTTTTGTCAAAACGAAATGTCCTGACACATGGCAACACTTCAAGCCGGAACAGTAGACCCTGGAGTGCAATGTTGAAGTCTTAGAACGTCCTAAAGCCCTACAGCCCTGAACCCTAAACCCTAAACCCTAAACTCTGAACCCTGAACCTAAGTACAGCCCTGAACCCTGAACCCTAAACCCTAAACTCCAAACCCTGAACCTAAGCCCCTAGATCCCCACGCGCCTGAATCCCAAGAATCCCCAACAAAAACCCAACCCAAGACAGAACACTCAATGGAACCCATGTGGTAACCCGCGAAAAGCCCCCAAAAACAACAACAAAAAAACACAAGCCCTCAACCCTAAGCCCTAAAAGCAAACAAGAAAGCAAAACACCAAAACCTCAACCCTAAGCCTTAAAAATGCCCTGGAGCCCCCCATTAAAACCCTCAGCCCTGCCATCTTCAAAGCCCTTTCAAAGGTCTCTTCTGCGACAAGAGCCGTTTAGGGTTCCTTAAAAGGTTTAGGGTTTAGGGTTTAGGGCTTAGGGGGACTATACGGGTTCCTATAAGGGGTCTATAAGTCCATAAGGGTACTATAGGGTTTAGGGATTTTAGCCTCAGAGATCCCAAATATCCCTGAACTAGGGGTTGCCTGCAGTCTCCATTGTCGTTCCTTGTTTTGGGTTAACCATTTTTATGGCTAGGATCCTGTAATAGAAACTTTGTTAACCGAACAAAAGGAACTACAATGGAGACTATAGGTATGCCTTAGCTTGAAGGTTGCTTAAAATTCTAGTTTTTAAATTTCCCTTAGCTAATGGGTAATTAATTATTGGGATCCCCCATTCTCAAGTTGACCCAAGAATCGGGAACGGACCCTAAACTGTAGCCACGATCCCCAGGCGCGTCTCTCTCCACTGCTCTTCGTTTTGCGGCGTACGTGCACGCTTTTCACAGCCCTTTGTTCCCAATTCCTCGTAAAAGGAATGTCGGCCCGAACGCCCTGCTCAAAAACATAAAGTCCAAAGCCCCAAGGAAGCCAACAGCAAACCGACCCCTAAAGATCCCGGAAGACAAGTCTCCAAAACCTCCCCAATTGAACCCTTATTGCAGAAACCCTAGAAACCCTGGTAGAAACTCTCGTCATAAAAAAAACCGTGAAGCGCTGCTTCAATCCGTTCGAGTCGGTGCTTTTCTCAGGATGGAGGTCATGTACAACTTTCTTTTAGCTGTGCCTGAGACTCAGGTGGGAGTTTCCGAAAATAAGGGGTGCCGTATTTCGGGCTCCTTACACCCTAAACCCTAAACCCTAATCAGGATCCTACCCTAAACCCTAAACCCTAAACCCGAAACCTTAAACCCTAAAGCCTAAACCGGTACCATAGTAAGGTCCCCCTATTTTCGGAATCCTCCAGGTCGCACGGTGGTCTAAGACTGGTTCTTTTCCTCTAGCTGTTTTTGCTATCAGCTTGAACTGATGCTATTACCATTAAACCCTAAACCCTAAACCCCTAAACCCCCAAACTCTAAACCCTAAACCCTATGAGTAACGGGTTTGGGGTTTAGGGTTTAAGTATTACTACAAGTACGATTACGTATTGCTACAGGGATTAGAGCCTGTCTGCTTTAGGGGGTTGCTTAGGCTCTAGTATTTTGGTGTTCTTGGCAATGTTTCTTTCGTTTTCGGAAGGGGGCTGGCGATCGGATATACATGGCTTGGGTTTCAGGGTTTCGGCCTGCAGGGTCTAATATAGGGGCCTTACTAATTACCTATACTATGTTGGGGGTTCCTTATTATATATATATATATATAGTATACTGGGCCCCAAAACCCAATCCCCCTAAACCACTACAGCCATACACTCATAAAGCCCTGCTAGGAAGGAACCCTGAAACCTAAACCCTGAACCCTAAACACTAAAAGAGCCCTTCGTACTCTTTTGCTGTTGCTTCCTGGCCTTTCTTTCTTTCCCAAAGGATACAATGTACTGTTATGGGGGATACATCCCTAAATCATAACAGTAATTCCTCATATGGGAACGCTACATTCGACTACATAGGTACATAGGATTTGGGTAAACCCTAAACCCTAAACCCTAAACCCTACATTCTACTATATAGGTACATAGGATTTGGGTTGGGGACCTGCTGAGGCGGCAGAGCACTACCTTGCAGGATCCGACCAAGGAGGAAGGCCAGAGTCTCGGGGTTTAGGGTTTAGGGGTT